AGAATGGAGGAGAAGGGATTGCGGCGTGGCCATCCCCCCTGGGGGGTGATTTCTTGCTTTCTATCTCTCTGTCTCTCTAGCAAGCGCACACACCCTATACCAAAGATCTCTCTTACGAAAAAAAAAAAGAAGGTGCAGTCTTTCTTGCTGGAGCATCTGGTTACAAGCGCAGGGTCAGCACGGGGCAGGTACTGGGTGAAGCTAGCTGTCCTACAACGGGTGCTGCCAGGGAGAGCGAGGGTTTCCTGCCTATGACCCCGTACGTCCTCAGGACCCTCCTCTAACCAGATGAGACGTTCCTAACCGCCCTCGCCAACATCATCTCGTCCCTGCTCACCAGCAGGGACCTGTTCTCATGATATTTACCATTGTTTGAGAGCGTCCTGTTTATTTCTCGGTTTATGTTTTGTTGTGCTTTGCTGTTTGTGTGTGTAGGATGTGGGCAGCAGGCCATCAGGAGCCTCAATGTCCAATTCGTTGCTGTGTCTATGGCACCTGCACAGGGCATTCTGTCGAGTGGACACTCGGTATTGGAATAAATAATGTGGAAGGAATGAACCACTGAAACATGAAACAAACAAACAAACCATGAAACAAACCGAACATGAAACGTGAAACAAACCGCTGACCTCGGAGCCTAGTGATTAGGGAGCTGGATTACCCACAGCCTGCTGCAGCTCGAGTCTTGGCCTTAGCAGCCGGGAAAGTACGCCAGGCTTGTACGTATGTGTGCCCTGATTCCAACAGGATGGAGAAACGGGGGAGAAGGGATTGCAGCATGGCCTCGGCCCACCGGGGAGTGCCTTCTCTGTCCGTCTCTTCTGTTTCTCCTGTTTCTCTTGCTGTGGCCAGTGTGTGCACACTCCGGGAATATATTTCATCCATTAAATTTAAAAAATAATAATAATAACGTGGCCAGCAGATGGCATGGTGGCTAGGGCTCTGGACTCCCACACGGCCAGCTGTAGTTCAAGTCCCAGACCTGGCAGTGTGAAAATCGTAGTTCAAGTCCCAGACCTGGCAATGTGAAAATCATGCCGAGCACGTGTGTGTGTGTGTGTGTGTGTGTGTGTGCTCAAAACCTGAAAAGCAGAAGAAGGAGAAGGGATTGTGGATTACAGCATGGCCGTACCCCCTAATGAGTGTTGCTCACTTTCCCTCTCACTGTGTCTCTCTCCGGTGTGCACAACCTATTGCAAAAACCTAGAAAAAAAAAAAAGTCTAACTCAGCAAATTCCAGACTTTCAGAGAGAGATTTTACAGTAAAGGCATCCCAGACTCCCTCCAATGCCGGATAAAATGGCAAAGAAGTGCTAGAAAACCAGCAAAAATTCCACCTGCAGAAGCTGAAGAAGGGAGGGCGCATTCCTCCCTAAGGATATAAAACTGGAAAGTAGAAGCCATAGATAAAACCAGAAGATTCTAGCAAGGCAACTGTTAACCTAGCTCCCAACTCTGCCAGTGACTTTCAGGAGCAATAAAGCAAGTCTAGATCCTGAAACTGCTCAGGGATGCCCCGCCCCGGGTGTGGACACAGAAGGACTGGAAGTACCCGTGCCTTTCTATGGATCAGGGTTTGGGTGGGTAGAGGAGGAGCTGCTGGAAATGGATGGTAACCGCGGAGGTGGGTTAGCAGGAGCTGCGAGGGAAGGACAGACCCCGACTGTAACTGCGACCATTCCTGGGAGTACCTCTGTGTGGATTAGAAAAAGGTCCACTCTCCTCTAGGCGAATGTGAACCCACACAGGGAGGCGAGCATGGGGTGGATTTCAACTCCCGCATGTCCTTCTGGCCAGGAGCCCTGTGCAGTGAATAACAGTACACAACCATCTATGGCAGCCCTAGTCCCAGGGCTCCACACTGAATCGGGAGAATGATCCAATCAGAAGAGCGCCTCCTGGGGACCAGCAGTTAGCGTAATGGCTATGTCGCTGGACTCCCACGTAGTCGACCGCGGTTCGAGTCCCGGATCCGGTGGCTTAAACTCACGCCGGGCGCGTGTGCGTGCGTGCCCAAGATCCCGAGAGGAGAATGGAGGAGAAGGGATTGCAGCGTGGCCATCCCCCCCCTGGGGGGTGATTTCCTGCTTTCTATCTCTCTGTCTCTCTCTGTCTGTCTGGCGAGCGTACGCGCCCTATAGCAAAAACCTCTCCAAAAAAAAAAAAAGAAGAGCGCCTCCTGCCGGTAATAGGATACACCTCCCACTAGAAGTCTATGGTAAACTTCAGAGGGCGCAGCCTCCGACAGAGGCTGGCAACACGCCTCCAAAGGCTCTCTCCTTCCCCAAATCCCCGCACCCAGTTTTCAGGCTGTGGAACAATGAATAGGAAAATATCTGGCCCTGATTTATGGCTTACGGGGATGAACCCCTCTCTAGTCTCAATAGGACTCCACAGAAGATGAAAAACTAAAAACTCACCTATACCATGTCAAAGAAAATGGAAATTTTGAACAGTCGCTCAGGCTAAGCATGATCATTATGAAAAAGAACAGCATGGATGGTAACTAGACAACCTGACTGTGGCCAAAAAGGAAAAAAAGAGAGAAGATGGAAAAATATATGTAGAAGCAGTGTATAAATCCCATTGTTCTTTCTTTAAAATATTTACTGTATCCCCTTACTGAGTCTGTCGTTTCTTTTGGTTCCATATTTCTTACTTGGTTTGAGCAAAAGGAATTCTATAGTTAGCGTTGAACTCACAAATCCCCCTGGAGACACAGGAAATCTGTACAGAATGAGGCTCTTGCAGAAGGTGCAGGAAGGAGATGGAATTTGAGGGGTTTTGTCGCTGTTGTTTCGTTGGGTCATCGGAAAAGTCATGATGCATTTTTGCATAGAAAACTGAAAAAATACATCATGACTTTTCCGACAACCCAATAGTTTTTGCTGCAGGGACCGCGCACTCGCCAGAGAGAAAAAGAGAGGGATGGAAATTGAGAGATCATCTCCCCAGGGGATGGGAGGTGAGGGGGTGGCCATGCCACAGTCCCTTCTCCTCATTCTCCTCTCTGGATTTTGGGCAGGCACACACATTTTCTTGGTCTGGGATTTTAACTACGAAGCTGGCCACCTGCTGGCCTGAGATGGAATTTTTTTTTTTTTTTGAGAGGTTTTTTTGTTTAGAGTGTGTGCGCTCTTCAGATAGACAGAGACAGAGAGAAAGAAAGTGAGAAATCACCCCCCAGGGGGATGGCCATGCCCAATCCCTTCTCCTCCGTTCTCCTCTTGGGATCTTGGGCACAAACACATGCACCCGGCGTGAGATTTAAGCCACTGTGTCCAGAACTCGAACCGTGGTCAACTACATGGGAGTCCAGCGACATAGCCATTACACTAACTGCTGGTCCCACCTGAGGTGGAATTTTGAACAGGAACATCATTAAGAATAAATTCGAAGGCAAAATAATATCCTATCTTTATGTTTAAATAAAGAGCTTTGTGGGAATTCTATTATATAACAGAATGTAAACACCAAAAAATGCCGCAGTATGGAAATAACCTAACTAGCAGGGAGTAGCTGGAGAAAGAAAGAAATGCTCATTTTCTCATCTCTCTGGGTGGGAGGGAGGGAGTGAACGCTGAATGCAATGGAAATGCATGTTATTTGAAAACATGAAGATCCTGATCTTTTAATCCTATTTTCTTTAGTTTAGAGGGAATTCTTAAGAAATAATCTTTCATATAGTGAAAAACAAAATCCTTCTACTGATAGTAACTTCCAGGATTTGCAGTGTTTGAAGTTGGTCAAATTCAAGTAGATGCATATTTAGCATTGTTTATCTAAAAGTAGTATGTGTAAAATCATCCCACTACTCTATAATCATTCCTAATTTTTTCTATGTAAACGCAAAAAGAACTGACTAAGGGAGCCAGCAGGTGGTATAGTTGTTAAGATGCTGGACTCCCATGTGGTCAACTGAGGTTCAAGTCCCAGACGTGACTGCTTGAAACCCATGCCGGGCACGTATGTGTGCTTGCCCATAATCCTGGGAGAAAAATGGAGGACAAGGGATTTCAGCATGACCATCACCCCAGGGTGGGGGGGATTTCTCGCTTTCTGTCTCTCTTTCTTTCTGTCTCTCCAGTGAACACACATGCTCTATAGCAAAAATCTCTTGAAAAAGAAAAAAGAAAGATAGATAGAAAAGTCGAAAGAAAGAAAAAAAAAAAAAAAAAAAGAGCTCACTGAGGCCAGCCACAGTGGCAGTGTTAACGCAATGGTGCACAGTCCTGAAGTCGCATGGGAAGGTCCTAAGTTCACATCCCAAGGCCTCCCTGTACTTGGGCACACACGCCCACGCCTGTGATCCTGGAGTGAAGAGTCTGCTAGGAGCACTTCTCTCTCTCCCCTCCCTCTTTCTCTCTCCTTCTCTTTCTCCTCTCTCTCTCTTTGTCTTTGTTTCCCATTTTTTAAAAAAGCTACTAAAGGACAAGTTCCTAAAATGGACAGCTCTAGGTGGCGCGATTCTAGGCAGTAGATTCTTTTTGATTTGCACTTTGATCTATTTTAATTCACTGAGAAAGGTTACTGTGGGGTCTGAAAAGTTTGGGATGTCTTTCTGACCTAGTCAGCCCAAAATCCCAAGAGGAGGCTAGAGGAAAAGAGATTGCAGTGTGGCCATCCCCCTGGGGGCGGGGAAGGTGATTTCTCACTTTCTGTCTCTTTGTCTCTTTGGTGAGTGCACATGCCCTATAGCGAAATTTTAAAACTATATAATATTAAATAAAGTTAAGAAAAAAAACCTTTTTTAAAAAAAAAAAAAAAAAAAAAAAAAAAACCTGTCAAGGCAGAAATTGTCAGAAAGAGGAAGAACATTGGATCATAACTCTCATTTTATTTAGGACAATGGGAGTTTTTACATTCTTTAAAAAAAAAAGGCAAGCAAGTAGTGTAACATTTGAACAAAGAGAGACACACTTGAAGAAACGTGCAAACACACATTATGCAGAGCCTCCCCTGCTGCAGATCTATATCTGTTAGGAAGGTATTGAGCAAGTGGTACCTGTTGCCTATCGTCGAGACATCTGAGCACTCTGACCACTGTATCTTGGTATCAAAGTCTCCAAGGAAAACAACACAGTCAGGCACTGGGTGGAACGACACTTCACTCAGAGCAAGATAGGCCTCCCTAGTGGGTGCTGGTCACCCCGTCAGAGGAACCCTCTCGTGGCCAGCAGGAACAGGCCCATCCAGGGCTGCAGGAGACAAGGATGATATCAAAGGGATCTTTAGAAAGTTCTTGGAATACATAGATGATGAGAAAACTGTGCATGGAGTTCAAAAATACTTTGCAACCATAGAAACTTGAACTTTAATTCCACTTTCTCATGAATTTCTTTTTTTTTTAAGACCTTCTTTAATTTTATTATCGTATTATTATTATTAGCTTAATTCACCAGAGAGAGATGGGTAGGGGGAAAGTAAGAAAATACGCTGCCAGGTCTGGGACTTGAACCTCAGTCAGCCATATGGAAGTCCAGGGCCTTAACCACCACGCCACCTGCTGGCCCCATCTCATGAACTTCTTAAAGTCCACTGGCAAAGTAGAGAGGTTGGACAGGTAGCATATGACACAGACACTTAAGCAAAGAAAGAGCACACACTGAGCCTGACACAGGGAGACATATTCCCACACAAGGAACCAGGTCCAGTACAGGCTACGCAAACTCTTCTCTCTTGGTAAGGAAGTGCCCCAGCCCACGTTCTTATGCAGCCAGAAGGGGGGAGAGACTGGGCACCTGAGGCTGCCTGACACAAGGGAAGGAGTACGTGGATCTTCATAGCACTTCTTTAACATCAAGACAAAGATATGTTGGTAATCCAGCTCAGTTTCCATAAGGAGGAGAAACACCACATGGAAATTTCATAGAAACTTGAGGACTATGTAATAGTTATGCCAAGGGTCTCTTGTAACATGAGGGTTACTATTTTATTTGTCTTTTTATTTAACCAGAGGGCATATGCACTAGCCAAAGAGAGACAGAGAGAAAGGGAAAGGGAGAGAGCAACCCCCCCAGTGAGATGTGGTCATGCTGCAATCCTTTCTCTATGTTTCCATCCTGTTAGGATTTGGAACACACATATGCACGTACCCAATGTGTTTTATTCTTTCTTTCTTATTCTTCTTTCATTCTCTATTCCTTTTTTCTTTTCTTCTTTCTTTCTTCTTTCTTTCTTTCAATTTTTCTTTCCTCTTTTTAGATTTGCCATAGGGCACATGCATTCATTGGAAAGCCATCGGGCACATGCACTTGTTGGAAACAAAGAAAAAGTGAGAAATCATCCCCTGGGGAGATGGCCATGCCACAATCCCTTCTCCCCCATTCTCCTCTAGGGATCTTGGGCACACACACATGCCCTGCATGATTCCAAGCTGCCAGGTCCAGGATTCAAACCATGGTTAGCCATGTGAGAATCTTTTTTTTTTTTTTTTTTTGGGGTTTTTTCTTTTGGCCCCATGTGCTCCCACTAGGTGAGAAATCGCCCCCAAGGGTGAGGGTCACCCACAATCCCTTCTCCTCCATTCTCCTCTTGGGATCTTGGGCACGCACACACACACGCCTAGCATAAGTTTAAGCCACTGGGTCCGGGACTCAACCACAGTCGACTACATGTGAGTCCAGCGACATAGCCATTACGCCAACTGCTGGTCCCATCCATGTGAGAATCTTAACCACCACTCTACCTGCTGGCTTCCCAATGTGTTTTTCAAACCATGCAGTTGGCCAGGTGGGATCAGCCTCCCTTAACTATCAGGCCATAGGGCCTGCCTAAGGGCTACTTTTTTATTTTTAATTAATAATATAGTTAAGGGGCGGGAAGATGGTATAGTGCTTATGATGCTGGACTCCCACACAGCCAATCACAGTTCAAGTTCGGGACCCTATGGCTTGAAAAATCACACTGTCTTATGCACATGCATACCCAAAATCCTAGGAGGAGAATGGAGGAGAAGGGATTGCAGTATGGCCATCCCCCCTAGTGGGTGATTTCTCAGATTTCTCACCCACTGTCTGTCTCACTCTAGCAAGCCCACGTACCCTATGGCAAAAACTAAAAAAATTTAAATTTAAATTTAAAAAATGTAGTTAGTATCCCAGAAACAAAGATATTTGAGCCTTTGAGAGATCCCAGCTTGGTGCTACAAGTTAGTGTATTAGAAAAATAAAAACATTATTACAACCTCAAGTGGGTATTTTAAGTCAAATGAGTATGGATGGCTTAATCTGTAAAATCGGGAATTATTTTGAAAATGTATTACGTGACTAGCAGTATAGATATCTCGTGTTCTCATCTCTCTATCTTGGTATGTAAGAAAGTTAGGAAACTACTCTCTATTTTAGCTGTGTAAAAATAAAATTTGAGAATTAAATCACATGGTCTTTCCATTTTGCTTATTAGAATACGGCTGCATATCAGAATCAGAAAATCAAATCCAACCACAGTCAGCATTGAAAGTGAGTATTTTCCATTTTATTATCTCTGAAATCCTGTGTGAAGGCTGACCCTTATCAGAATAAATACTTCTTAAGTGCGGATGGGTTCTTCCATTCTGTCTTCACAAAAATCTTCATGAATGTAAACGCAGTTGGCTAAAATGACTGAGAACGTGAGTCGCCTGAGCCTTACATGATCCTTCCTGTCAGAGGCAATTTGGAGGGATATTAAAAAAAAAAAAGCCACAATACCTAAAAATATTCAGCTTCATACTTTGCCTACATTTATTACAGGTCCTTCAACATCAGTTGGAATCATTTCAGGCCCTTCGAATACAGACTTTGCAGAATGTTAGCATGGTATGTTTCTTCTCTTTGTTTTAACTTTTCTTTTTTCAAAAAAATTTTTGAGAGGTTTTTGCTATAGAGCAAGTGCACTCACA